AAAAATAGAGCCACCCTATAATCTGGCCGGCTCACTCCTGCGCCTCTCTATGGTGAAAGCCATAATTCGAAAACACACGTGCACTCCAACCTTCACTGCAGCACTATGTACAATAGCTGGGACCTGCAAGCAACCAAACTGTCCATGGACGGATGGATAAAGAAGACGTGGTACAGATACAGAAGGGAATGTTACTCCACCATGAAAACAAATGAAATAATGCCATTGGCAGCAACATGAATGCACCTGCAGATGACCATACTAAGAGAAGTAAGTCCTAGAGAGAAAGCCAAATATCATGATATCACTTACATGTGGAATCTTAATAAATGGTATAAATGAACCTATTTACAAAACAAATAGAGTCACAGATGCAGAAAACCAACTTATGGTTACCAAAGGGGAAAAGTGGCAGGGATAAATTGGGAGCTTGGGATTAACATACACAGGGTACTATATGTAAAATAGGTAACCAACAAGGCCCAACTGTGTAGAACAGGGAACTCTGCTCAGTATTCTATAATAACCTAAATGGGAAAAGAATTTGAAAAAGAATTGAGACATGTATATGTATAACTGAATCACCTTCCTGTACACCTGAAACACAAAATTTTCAATCAACTATATTCCAATATAAAATAAAATTTTTTTTAAAAAACCGCTTAAATGAAAACCCAATTTTCAATTTTTATATTCTTGGAAAGTTTTTCCCCTTTAAATATCTGCTGTATTTTTTAATTTTCTGAGCCGGGTCTTCTAAAGCCTGGATTCTCTTATAAATCTTTTTGGCAAGTTAATGTTTTCTCTTTTTTAAATACTTTTATATCTGAGACTTTCTTTGACACAAATAAATTTTGATTTTACTAATTTGAGCTCATTTTTCAAGCACAGAGATCTTCCTGACCCAGCTTTATAAATTTACTATTTGGTATACTTAACCCTCATGTCTTCATGCCAAGTTAAGGATTTCTCAATAATATGATGAAAATAAGTTATGTGAATTCATATTCTTCTTGGTATGAGTAGAAATACTTTGTTAAATTTATCTTCCCATGGCAAATATATAACAACTATACTGCTAACCCAGATCAACTATTCTCCTAGCTGCCATCCAATTATAAAATCAAACATTTTACATGTAGTTCTTGGGTTAGCCATATATCCAACTTAACCATATCACTGTCTTACCCATAGAGAGAGCTTATCCACACGGAGGTCATCCATAGGGAGACGCTCCAGCAAGTATCTTGTTAATATTAAAAGATGCCCTCTCTTGAAGAATACTTGCCCATCATCATGGGTCAACAGTCTTTGGGGCTCAAATCTCAAGCACTGAATCTGTGCATGTGCTTGTATGTAACCATACGGGGGTACCTCATGCAACACAGGTAAAAAGTGGGCTCTACGCAACCTTTAGGAAACAAAATATATGTAAACTTTTCAAGCTAACTCACTACTGTGAAAGCATGCCTACTCTAGCACTAGCCTGTGGCACCCAGGGCAACTCCCTACTCATACCCTCACATTCTAGTCACACTCAGGCTCCCTCCCACGTCAGGTCTTCACCATCCTGCTTCCTCCTGCAGAAATGCTCTCCTCCCATGCCCTTGCCCAGGTTTTACACAGCTCTGAAGCCTTCCCTGATCTGATCAGAGGCCCCCCCAAAAAAACCTCAGATTTCCCTGCTGTAGCACTAATAACAATTGGAAATAATAATTCATTTTCTTTGACAGACTACCTCTTCCTCTAAAGTCTAGACCAGTAGTTCTCAAATTGCTGAGATCTTGGACGCGCAGAATCAGAATTACCTGGGAACTTCTTAGAAATGTACACTCTCAGGCCCTGCCCCCGATCTACTGAAACAGAAAATCTGAGACAGGAGCCTCCAGGTGTGTCTGATGCTCACTGAAACTGGACAACCACTGCTGTACCGTCTATGGAGACGTGCATCTTCTTCTTCTCCCTATCCTTACATGGCCCTGCTCTCATCACCCAGCAACTCTGTATATAACCAATGCTCCGTAAAGGTTCACTGAATAAATGCGTGAATGAGTAGGCATTTCACATTTTTCACAATGTAAATGAGAGTCCCTTAATCAGGATTAGAATGGTTCCAGTTACCAATTTAAATTTTCCTTAAAAATGTCTCCTAGGGCTTCCCTGGTGGCGCAGTGGTTGAGAGTCCGCCTGCCGATGCAGGGGACACGGGTTCATGCCCCGGTCCGGGAGGGTCCCACATGCCGCGGAGCGGCTGGGCCCGTGAGCCATGGCCGCTGAGCCTGCGCGTCCGGCGCCTGTGCTCCGCAACGGGAGAGGCCACAACAGTGAGAGGCCTGCGTACCGCAAAAAAAAAAAAAAAAAAAAAGTCTCCTAGAAGCAGGAAGCAATCAAATAATGAAGCTTCAAAAACTTGAACGTTCCTGTGTTGTACAAATTATAATGTTCAAAGTCTGTATACCTCAAGAGCCACTTCCCTTGATGATCCTCTCCAAGCATGGGGAAAATGAGATCAAAAAGAGTATGACAGGACAAAAAGAGCCAAAACACAGTCGTTGAACAACCTGGGAAACATCACTAAGCCACCGGGAAATCACCAGGCTCCTCCAAGCAAGAATAACATACCTCTTAAAAAGATGAACCACAACAAATGAAAATGTCGAAACAAACAAAAATAGAAAAAAATTCAAATTCACATGTGTTATTCACACTTCTTCACTATATCTGTTATCTAATTAAGTTCCCGTTGCATTTTGTTCACTTCTGAAGCTAGAAACATTTCTCTTGAATTAAGTCTTAAAGCAGTTTTTAAAGAATCACTGATATAAAATAGATAACTAATAAGGACCTACTGTACAGCACAGGAAATTCTACTCAATACTCTGTAATGACCCATATGGGAAAAGAATCTAAAAAAAAGAGTGGATATATGTATACGTATAACCGATTCACTTTGCTGGACAGCAGAAACTAACACAGCATTGTAAATCAACTCTACTCCAATTAAAAAAAAAAAAAAGAATGTCTGAGTTTATGGTGGGGTGGTACACTGTTTTGTTCTATACCAAGAACAAGTTCAGAGTTTACCCAGACACAACAGAAAGAGCGTAATTTGTGTGTATGTGTGTACACAATACGCCTGTGGGTGTACACATGAGCATATACGAGTATGTGTGCGCACGTATTCTGTGCATTCTACATTTAATATATTTCAATATATGGCTTTACTTCCTTAAGCCCAGGTCAACTAGGTTTTGTCACTCTATTCACTGACATAATAAAAATATGAATTTTGAATACTTTCATTATAGCAAAATCAAGATCTGTTTGTATACTGGATCTCATTCATTTAAGCTTCAGTAATGCTGAATGAATGACTATTACATAAAATAAACCAAATTGAATTTGCCTTACTCATTAATAAGGAAAGTTTAGCTAAGAAAAGTTTAGTTAAAGAAACATTATTCCAGGTTACTTTCAACCCACCTTAATGGCTCTCTACATGTATTTTCCAAATAGAAATAGGTCTCACCTGACCGTTAGAGTAGGGCATTCAAGATCTTATTTCATAACTCCTTGTCACTTAAAAGCTGTTAGAGTTACTGTTCTTATTAAAAGTAATAGATGTACTTCTGATCATTGAAATTTTCCACTAATTTAAACTGGCCTTCCTTTGACTTATTCTGAGTTAGTAAATACTTGTTATACTGTAAAACACAAGAATATACTTGGTCTTAAGTATTCAAAAGTAAATTCTTTTTTTAAAAAACCTAAGGACTAAGGGTAAGGTTAACAATTATATAAATATAAAAATTATAGATTAGAACCTAAGGATACAAAATTAAGAAAAGAAAGTAATACTGACATCTCTGTATATGTTACAAACTAGGTCAAGAAATTAAATGTCATGATTTCAAAGATACAAAAAACACACAAAGAATGCTGCAGCACAGCCACCTTAACCTCAGTTTCTCCTACTGACACAGGCTGGTAGGGCTAACTTTTTTTTTTTTTTTTTTAAGATTTATTTATTTTATTTATTTTCGGCTGCGTCAGGTCTTAATGGCAGCACGCGGGATGTTCGTTGAGGCACACGGGATCTTTCATTGTGGCACGCGGGCTTCTCTCTAGTTGTGGCTGCAGGTTTTTCTCTCTCTAGTTGTGGCACGCGGGCTCTGTAGTTTGCGGCCCGTGGGCTCTCTAGTCAGGGTGCCCAAGCTCAATAGTTGTGGCGCACGGGCTTAGTTGCCCCGCAGCATGCGGGATCTTGGTTCCACGCCCAGGGATCGAACCCACGTCCCCTGCACTGTAAGGCAGATTCTTTACCACTGGACCACCAGGGAAGTCCCTAACTTTTTAATTAAGAGAATGGCAGGTCAACTGCAGAGTTCCTGTGCGCATTATTCCTCTGGCTAAGTGCCATGTATACGGTAATTACTTTGCATTTAATGCAATTACACAGCAATCTGCCATAACTGAATCAGCCTATGGCTGCATGGCTTTTATTGACCAAAGCTACTGAGTAACCAAAGAATTAAAGAGAAGTTACACAGTATTTCCATCCTGTGAGTCACAGAACACACTTTAAGGCTGTGCTTCTCCTGATATTATTTCTGACAAAAATGTAACTGTTAAAAACAGCAGTAATTGATTGGGCACTCACTATGTGCCAGGCACTGTGCTAAGGACCTTAAATTGAGTATTTCATGCATTCTCATGGCAGCCTTATGAAGTAGGTACTGACATTATTCCCATTTTACAGATGAAAAAACTGAGACTTAGAGCAAATAACTTGCCCACAGCACTAAAAAGCAGTAGATACGAAAATCAAAGCTGGGAAGGTGGGCTTCAGAGTCTAAAACCTTAAATTTCCTTCGTGCTACGTACACACACGTACTATATAAATCTACTCATTTAACTCTCTCATGAACAAATTCGAGTCTGCTCAAATTGGGAAAAGGGTGGATAAATGTGGGATGGAGCTGACTGAACACGGCCTGTACCTTTCCTTCCTCATCACATGGAGTGTGGATCTGGAAATAGTCTTTTGTGGTACAGGGAGGACGCTCCTTACACTTGCTGGATCCTTCTTCTGCAACAGGAAAACGAATTTCAGAAATGAGTCATTTATGTTGTGACTCTTAGAAAAGGCAGACATGAAAACAAACAAACAAAACGTAGACAAGTGAAAAGTAAAAATAACTGCACCAGAGGAATTTAGGTAGAACTAGCAAGGCCTAAAGAAAAAAAGGCCCTCATTTTTCTTTTCCCTAGAGCAATAAATGTTTCCATGATACACAAGGAGCATATCATGGTTTTTCCAAGAAGACATTCGATTTCCTCCATTAACACAGAATGTTGTAAATTTGGAACAAATTAAAAGTTTCTAAGTACATCTCCATGCCAAGGCATCATCTAAAAGTACAAAATGAACCTTTTTAGACAAGTATGAACATATCCAAAACAGATACCTTGGCGGGGGAGGGGGGGAATAGAAAACATTACTGACAAAGAGAAAAGTCCTGCAGAAAGGGGTCATTAGATGTCCTATCTTACCCACTCAGTATGGATTCCGTTCAGCACTTTGGTTTCTGGCCCACTGTGTCCATCACATCGTATGTGTGATTTCTGGCTTATGACTATATGCTCTCAACAAACATAAATTTAGAAAGAAAAGAACAAAGAGTATCAACTGGAGACTCACTTTACCTGAAAACTGGGAGTCCACGTCACACCTGATGCATTCTTTGGCTCCTTTCTCAGAATAGGTGTTTCTGGGACACACTTGGCAGATGAATGAACCTGGCTCGTCGCTGAAGGTGCCAGGCTTGCATGGAAAGCATTCCGATGTGTACGCCACCCCTGTGTGGTAATGGGAAACAGAGAGAGCATGGGAGGACCCAACAGCAACACGCACATCAGTGCGTCCTTGCTGCCTCTACCCGAAGTGAGAGAGAAATATTACCAATAAGCTTAGCCCAGGTCTTTTATATCCCATTCATTCAACACCAAAAACGTACTTACTATGTGCGAGGAACTGGGCTGGATACTGAATTGCACATGTAAGTGCAGCAAACACTTCAACAAGAGATTCAGACTTGATAGAGGTATACAGTCAATGTATAAACTCAGCTGTCGAAAGACAACTCCACTAATCAGAAGTGGCATAAACTCTAAGGTTCCCTCCAAGTCTATACCATTCTCTCATCTTTGTGGCCACCTGCTCCCTTTTTCTCCACTGTTCACTACGTAGCTGACAAGACCTAAGGGACCCTGGGAAAGGCTCGACTTTTCTTCTGGCTTGTAATTCCAGCCTTTGCCAGCAGATGTCCCTATGACTAATGAGTTAGCGTCACAGGCACAGGTGTACCTAGAACATACCAAAACGTTAAGTCAAACTTTAATAAAGGAGAATCAACTGCTTTCATTAAAAGTAGCCCTAATTGAGAATGAACCATGCCAGGGTTTACTGGCTACTCTTCTGAGCCACAAGCTGGTTCAGAGAGGCAAAAGTTGTAGGAGACAGTCAGGCCAAGATATCTATCTCACTGTTATTTTTAGGGATAGAGTGGAGACCTGAATAAGCACTATGCCAGCACAATAGAGAGTTCTCGAATGAATAGTAGGATCTTATTAATCAATATTATTTTCTTTTATTTAAAGACACCTACAATTGTCATCATGTTTACTTTTTCCACACAGATTAAATAATTCAGTTTACGGATAGGAAAAAAAAAATCCCAGTCAATTTGCCAAGAAGAAAACCAGGGTCTCTAGGCCTATATGATGTCTAACATATTAATTTCTGTCCTAAATCCCCGTAAGCCAGCAAAACCAACAAAGTAATCAATATTCTAACTATTAAATGTGACAGGTGACTACCAGAGCAGACTGCTGTGAAATACCTTCAATTGTGATATTTTTTACCAACACTGGCTTGACGGCCTTGGAACCCATAAGGATGCCTGTAGTTCTCCAGTACAGTATGTTTGTGCCTGATTTCAACATTACCTATAAAGAGAACACAAGATACTCAGGTCAGATAAACCATGCTACCTACAACCATATCTAGAAGCTAATCTCTTATACACTTTTCAATGCATTATAATGAAATGGAACCCACAAATTTAAATCTACTGTTAACTGAGACCTAAGCTCTGCTTCAATTCTAAAAAAAAATAGTCTGCCAAGCCCCAAAATATAGTAATGATAAAAGGAAAAGAAAATTCTTCAAGCATGATAAAAGATAAAATGATCTTCAATTCATTTGCATGAAGTCTTGGTTTATATTTCAAAGGGACTCATTTTAGACAGTGAAAGGCACTTGGCCCAATTACATATTGATTGGCTGCCACTAGTCATAAGTAGATCTTTGGGCTCTGAAAACAAAAAAGGTAACAGAATGAGTTTGCTTCATTTTAAAATTACTTAACAAAAAACATTGCAACAGCAACAAGAGAAAAATAGGACTATTCTTATAGAATAACCCGATTCAACTCTATGACTCCAGAACTTAAATGATACCACGTCTAATATTTGCTTCCTTTGCCACCAGAACATTTTTATATTTATAAATCAAAATACTTTTCTGATCAATTTCATGCTGATTCAGTCAAGTAAACTAATGTTAAGGGTGCCTTGCTTTCTCATTTGCCACCCTACTCTTCTATGCAGTCTCTGGCTGGCCAAATTCAAGCAGTAGAAAATTAAAACGTATCTGACTACTTCACCCTGCCAGAGATTCAGAGAAGTAGTGTGTTAAGTACTTTCCTTTTGTGTTAAGTCTTTGTAAGTGAGGAAAGCATATTTCTTGGCAAGGGTTACTTGTACCTTCAAAGCCCAGCGGACTGAATGCTTAGGTGGATGGATCTTAAGTGGTACTAACATCACTTCCAGGCATACAGATCGAAAAAGTACTCTGAAAGGGTGCATGATATTAATCACTCAACGATGAGGTACCTGGACTTCCCTGTTGGCGCACTGGTTAAGAATCTGCCTGCCAATGCAGGGGACACAGGTTCAATCCATGGGCCGGGAAGATCCCACATGCCACGGAGCAACTAAGCCCGTGTGCCACAATTACTGGGCCTGTGCTCTACAGCCCACGAACCACAACTACTGAGCCCGCATGCTGCAACTACTGAAGCATGCGCAACTAGAACCCGTGCTCCACAACAAGAAAAGCCACCGCAGTGAGAAGCCCTCCCACCACAAGGAAGAGTAGCCCCCTGCTTGCCGCAACTAGAGAAAGCCGGCATGCAGCAAAAAACACCCAATGCAGAAAAAAAAATTTTTTTTTTCAAAAAAAAACAAAAAAGGATGAGGTAACTGCTACAGCACAAAGGCAAGGATGGGCGGTCACTTATTGAAACAGTGTCCAATCTACACTGCAGGCACCACACTAGGCCCTCCCCATGTATCATCTCATTTAACTCTGCAAGATTGGTCCCATTTCTCTTATGAACTATCAAAGAGACGAAGCCAATTTCCTAAAGAAACACAACTACTACAAACCAAAGTTAGATTTTAAATCCATGTCTCACTCCAAAGGCCTCAAATAATAATAGATTCAGAGACTGTGTTACCTGATAATTGCCTTCAAGCACTTAGAGTTGTCCTTAAAGAAATAAGCAGTTAGTCTACCAGACACAACCAGAAAGGGTAGAACTTTGAACAATGGGTGATGAATAGACAGACAGAAAGCAGGTTTCAGCTCCAGACATGGATGAATTTTGTAATATGCAGAGCTGTCCAACAATGGGGTCAGCACAGTCCCCAACAAGACAAGCTTGAAAATCATTTGCTGGGGAGACTGCAGAGAAAGTTGGATGAAAGAAACTCAAGGATCCTTCCAATGCCAAGAGTCACTGATTCTCTTTCATGTGATTGCCACATCTGTAAACTTACATACTCAGAGGTTCTGTATATTAGTTTTGAATAGACTTCCTTCCTATTAATGCCCCTTTTAAAAGGAGGAGAGTTGGAGTGTGATGGGAAAGAGCAGGAAGAGGGAGCGAAGAAGAAAGAGAAAGGCAGGAAACGGCTTCCCTGGTGGCGCAGTGGTTGAGAGTCCGCCTGCCGATGCAGGGGACACGGGTTCGTGCCCCGGTCCGGGAAGATCCCACATGCCGCGGAGCGGCTGGGCCCGTGAGCCATGGCCGCCGAGCCTGCGCGTCCGGAGCCTGTGCTCCGCAACGGGAGAGGCCACAACAGTGAGAGGCCCGCGTACCGGAAAAAAAAAAAAAAAAGGTTGGGAAAAGGCAGGAAGGAGAAGGATGGGGTTGGTAGGAAGCGGAGGACAGAAAGAAACTTACAGAATGAGAGCCCCATACTCCACTGTCGGTGAGTTTTACCCACTTGTCAGCGGTGGTGTCCATCTCCTGGCACTGATCATTTTGAATCTGTGGAATAAACACAAGGGCCCCAGTAAAGCTTCTTGAATGACGGCTTTAATTAAATTTGTTACTCAGCACAGGACAGGCTGCAAGAGCTTCTTTCAAAGTCTACAAAACAATGGCCATGAGTAATTCTCAACAGGTAAACGTGCCAAGACCTCTGGAGCCTAAGTGACAACTGCATATGAGTTAGTAGTTCTAAGTAAACCACCCTCATTACTGTGACAAAAAAGACTAGGCCACTAAGAAGGTGGGGGCGGCGGGGGCTGCTAAGCAGGAGCGGCAGAGGCAGAGAGAGTTAGCACTGAAAATCCACATAAAGGGGAAAAAGTCATCACAAAAATGTAAAAGCTTGCATTCACCAGGCAGGCCCGAAAGTATAAAAATCAAGTTTATTTTTATAAGATTTGGGGCCGTTAAAATTTTAAATTAATAAATAAATGAAATCTGCTTTGTCTTCCTTTCCCCGGGACTTAACCCAAATGTGTATAGGTAAGTGGCTACAGCCAAAGTCAAAGCCCCCAGCTGGTATCTGGGGACAGATGTTAATGATATTCTATGCCAGTGCAAATGAATACAGCTAATATCTTTAGCACCAAACACTTTGTGCTTTTCAGACAATTCTTCCCAAATACCTAGGAGTTGGGACATACTCTTCCAGGCCTATGAAGAATACCTAGACATCAAAAATTTGGCCATCTTGGGCTTCCCTGGTGGCGCGGTGGTTGAGAGTCCGCCTGCCGATGCAGGGGACACGGGTTCGTGCCCCGGTCCAGGAAGATCCCACATGCCGCGGAGCGGCTGGGCCCGTGAGCCATGGCCACTGGGCCTGCACGTCCAGAGCCTGTGCTCCGCAACGGGAGAGGCCACAGCAGTGAGAGGCCCGCGTACCACCAAAAAAAAAAAAAAAAAAAAAATTTCCATACAAGTTATTTCCTAAAGACTTACTAACTAGAAAACAGATCCTTGCAACAGCCAAATGCCAGACAATACTGACTGCTCCTGAGGACATCTGCTTTAACTGAGTTCAAATGTCATATTTATGTTATAAGCATAATGACAATCCTAATGCAAGTGGGAAGCCATTTTTAAACAGAGAGGAACCCTGAATATACCTTTGGTGGTCAATGTTTAGGTAAACTGAAAGGTTTTTTTCAGCTGATATCAGACATCATGACATTCTCTTGGCATTCTACAGATCTGAGTTCTCCTGGTATTCTAAAAGTAACCAGTAAAGGTATAACCTTGGTCTAATCATTTATTCTCTCCAGATTTCAGTTTCATCATTAAAAAAAAAAAAAAAAAGTGTGTGTGGAGGGGAGAGCTGAGTGAAACTCCCAGACTCCTAAAATTAAATACTTTACTGCTTTCAATTATGAATTGTTCACAGGTGCATCTGCATCTTTCAGTCTTCAGACAATTTCTTTCCACTAACCATTCTGCAGGCTGGCCATAAGGTGTTGACCCTCTGAGTCAATAAACTGCAACCTATGAAGCTGAAACATCAGTAAAAGAAGGAACATGAACTCACCATCCCTTTTCAGTCTCTATCCAGAAGAACAAAGGTATCATTGAGAGAAAGTAGTGAAATTTCATGCCTTAAGAGCACCTTTACTGACAACTCTCAAAGGACTTAATGGACAACACAAAACTAAATGCTTATTCTAACAATTATACAATTATCTTGCTTCTTAACTTTATTTTAGTAATATTGCAAAAATGTCCAATGGAATAGAGAATCATTCAGTCTGAGAAGTATCTTACAAACAAAATGCAACTTAAAAACTCAATCTGTTTGAATATTGCTTAACATCTTAAACTCATCAAAGGACCTTAGAGCTGGGAGGCTTCTTAAAAGGTCTTGTCTACGATCCACTTTACAAAAAGGAATGCTGAGGACTAGAAAGTTAACTTAATTGTCCAATAACATACAACTAGCAATTGCAGAGTTGGGACGTGAGCCAGAATCTCTTGACTTTGAGCCTAAGGCTCATACCTTCATGGAAAATATCTCTTCCTAGAAAACTTCTGATTTAGAAACTTCCATTAACAAGAGCAATGTAAATTTGTTTTAGCATGATCAGTACATTTATTCCTGAAATCTGGACCACAGAAACACTTACAAGATATTTTCCCAGTTGCCTGCACAACACACACTTTTTTTTGGTTTAAGAAGTCAATCTGAGAAGTTTTTCTCAAGTATCTGAGTCACTGCCACAACGAATATTTGCAAGATTAGATACAGTTTATATAAATAGTTAAATAATTTTCATGGTAACAGCCCATTCTGTTAGACTATTGTTTTTTCCTATATTCTGTAATGTTATTTAATCTCTTGTCAGAGACATCAACTATCTCATCCATTGAGTCCATTGGATTGTACAAAACCGGCAGAATCAGAAAGACACAGACACTCCTAACTGCCCATGAATACACTTAAATAACTGAAATATTTGAAATTGCAAAGAGAAAAAAAGCCTTTTAAACAGAAACTAAAATTGGTAAAAACATATTTTTAAACAAAGTAGCATCTGTAGCTATAAAAAAAATTTTAATGAATCTTGGGGAAAATATCTGTCACACAAAGTCTCCACCAAGTGGTCGCCTAATAATCACATCCAAAGGGAAAAACAAGCCCAATGTTACTCTACAAGGTGAGAGCTCAAAGTTAAAAGAAACAATGTTAACCAGAAAATATTATAGACAAAAAATAACACTTCTTTTCATACTGAAAGCTTCACTTAACACAAAAACCAAGGAGGCATACAATGGAATGGGAACAAATGATTAAGAGAAATTTTATATGAATGTCCTTTAAAAAGTGAATTCTAGAATATAAAAGCCCTTACAAAGAACTCAAAGAAGATGTTGTTGTCCACATACTGGTACTCAAAGAAAACATAGCCCGACTTCTTGAGGTGCACAGCGTAGATCAAGGATACCGTGCAGTCATCACGATTAGACTCTATGTAATTTCCACGAGGGACCCAGGAAGAGCTGTGGAAACAAAACCATTTCATGTCAGCATTCAGAAACCTCTTTTTTCACAAGTTCTGTAACTGAGATTTAAAAGCGGTTCCATTGACAAAGCACAGCAGAGGGGTCTGAAGCTCGTGTGGAACTCACAGGCCAATAGCATGGCTGGAAAAAGGTTCGTTTCTTGTGGCACATGACTTCCTAAATGGTGGTACAGTTGAACAATCAAGTTGCTACATAACTGCTATTTTTCACCAAAACTTTGATTGCTAAACAGATGATCACTAATTCCAGTTGGCTTAGATGGAGTTATTCTCTCAAACAATATCTAAAGTTATATTTACAAACATATACTTGGCAGGGGAATGCAGGGGTTCCTTGACTGTGAGAGAAGATATTGTCCTAGAAAAAGCCAATTTAAAGTGAACCTAAATAAAATATAGATCACAGTGTCATAATACATAGTAGAGCTAAAAGTCTGATTGGAACTTTTATCTAAAAAATAAAATGAAATATTAAGAAAACACACTAGTGAACAAAAGCTGGGTTGTCAATCTAACCATAAGCTAATTCTTAATCAATAATGAGTCACGTGCCAACTTTTGGCCAAAAAAAATTTCCAACCAAACCGTATGACAGCACAACTTATTATCCTTCTCTTCAAATTTAACTTTCTATCTGGATGATAAGTGAGATTTTGGCAATTTATTTTCTTTTTACTAACAGAAAAAAAAAAATTGAATGAAAGACTGAGACTTCCACATCCCATCATGACTCACTAATTGGTATTGGATTTGCCCTTTTCTTTAACAATCTAGTAAACTAAACAAAACACGTGAGCCATGTTCAGGCATTGACAATAGGCAGTGAAGGACTGAGATTCCTGACAGCAGGAAAACACATGAGACAAAGCCCAAACTGACCCTGACCTCATTCTTCAGGACACTTTCCAGACCATGGCACAGGGAGATAGCACCCAAGCAGAGCACAGTGATCTCACTGAGCCAGGCAGCAGGGATGAATGTTTGGGGCAGCTGAAACAACTGGAATTTTCAGGCCTGAGATGCAGAGAAAACAGGGGCTCCAGAAGTCCATATGGAGTTTCTCTGAAGGTTAGGGCTTGGATCTGGAGCGGGCAGGCCTACCAGCGAACAGCCATTGCAAAGCTAAGACATAATCAGAGAGGTCACTTCTATGGGAGTCGCTAGAGCTCCAGGTCAGCCAGAAAGGAGGAAACTTAATAACCCCATTGGACATGCATCTGAGATTCCAGAATTGCCACACTTCAGGAATAAGGGCCATACCCTAGAGTAGGTATCAGCAAACTTGTTCATAAAGGGCCGGAGAGTCAATAATTTTGGCTTTATGAATCATCTGGTCTCTCCTGCAATGTTTAACTAGGCCATTGGAGTTCAAAAGCAGCCATAGACAATATATAAATAAATGAGTGCAGCTGTGTTCCAATATAACTTTACTTACAGAAACCGAGGGAGGGCCCACAGGCCACAGTGTGCCCAACTCTTGCCCTAGAGTAAAGACCATGACCTAGAACTAAGTGTGAAACCAATATCGAAACAGCCTAAAAAAAAATTTTAAAACCAGACCTGACGAGATCAAGGCAGTCTTCTCATAAATAAACTGCCTTCCAGAACAAAATCCAACACCTTTTAAATGAAAGAAAAAAATAATCCACATTCCCTACATCTTAACATTCATGATGCCCCAGATACAATAAAAATTTACTAGGAATGCAAAGAAGTGGGAAAGTATGACCCTTAATTGAGAAAAAATATAATCAGAAGAAACAGGGGCTTCCCTCGTGGTACAGTGGTTAAGAATCCGCCTGTCAATGCAGGGGACACGGGTTCGAGCCCTGGTCTGGGAAGATCCCACATGCCGCGGAGCAACGAAGCCTGTGTGCCACAACTACTGAGCCTGCACTCTAGAGCCTGTGAGCCACAACTACTGAGCCCATGTGCCACAACTACTGAAGCCTGCAAGCCTAGAGCCTGTGCTCCGCAACAAGAGAAGCCACGGCAATGAGAAGCCTGTGCACCAGAATGAAGAGTAGCCCCCGCTCGTCGCAACTAGAGAAAGCCCATGCGCAGCAACAAAGACCCAATGCAGCCAAAAATAAAAATAAATAAATAAATTTATTTAAAAACATAAAACAAAAGAAACAGACAAGTATTTAAGACAGCTCTTCAAAATATAATCAACAACAGTGAGTGAAGGGATGAGGAATCTCAACTATTTTAAGGGAAATAAGAACCATTCGTAAAACTAAATGCAAATTCTAGAACTGAAAATTACAATACATGAAATTGAAAATTCAACAGATGACCTTAAGATCAAGTTTGAGACTGCAAAAGAAATAGTCAATGACACAGCAATAGAAACTATGTAATCTGAAGTCTAAGAGAAAAAAATTGGGGAAAAAATAGAGGCTCAGTGACTTTTGGACAACACCAAGTGGCCTAACATACACGTAATTGGAATCATAGAAGGAAAAGAGGGAGAGAAAGGGGCAGAAAAACGTTATTGGTGAAATGGTGGTTAACATAATTCTCAAATTTGGTGACAATATCAACCTACAAATTCAAGAAGCTCAGTGAACTTCAAGCAGAGTAAATACAAAGAAAACCACACCATCACAGTCAAACTGTTGAACAGCAAAGATATAGAGAACATTTTATAAGTAGTCAGGGAACTAAAACCATTACATAGAAGGGAACTAACCATACAAAATACAGCTAATTTTTTTTTTTATCACAAACAAGGGAGAGATTCAGAGGTAATGGAACATCTTTAAAGCATGGAAAGGGAAAAGTAAAAGCCCAGGGTCATACGTCCAACAAAATATTCTTCAAAACTGATGCTAAAATAAAGATATTTTTAGGTTAAACAAAAAAGAGCTGAGAGAATTTGTGAGCAGCAGACCTGCATTACAAGAAATGATAAAGAAAATTTTACAGGATGAAAAAAATAATACTGGATATACATGCCAACCTATATACAGGAGGAAAGAGCACCAATAATAGTAAATATGTAGATAAGCATATTTTTATCTCTTAAGTTTTTTAAAAAACAATTGATTTTTTTAAATTAATTAATTTATTTTTGGCTGCGTTGGGTCTTCGTTGCTGTGTTAGGGCTTTCTCTAGTTGTGGCAAGCAGGGGCTATTCTTCACCTCGCACAGAAATGAAGACCCAACACAGCCAAAAATAAATTAATTAATTTTTTTAAAAAAGAATACAATATTGGGTGGACGGAAAAAAGGAAGAAAGGAAAAAAGGAGGGAGGGAGGAAGGGAGATAAACGAAAAAGTAACAGGCTGAAATTTACACTGAGACAGTTATACTCAATACACTGAAAAATTTCTGCTTATCATTCAATCTCTTTAATGAATAAACAATTCCAAATTTATTGGAATTAGAAAAAGAAGCCACACAATATCTCCTGCCCACCAAGACACAGATCTGAGATCTCATAACATCCTACTACTACCTTCCCCTAAGTAATTCTTTTATTTAAAAAAATTGAATTAAATTATACACACACACGTTTCCCCCGTTACATAAAAGTGCAGTGTTCCTATGAAACCTTTCGTAAGCTGAAATGGTGCAAAGCAAAGAAGCAATTACCTTACGACACATCTTACTAATGGATTTACAAAATAAATCAAGATAAAGCATAGATCCCAGACACAGTTCAAAGTTACGGTGGCTTGATGCTGAGATGCTGCATGTAGCTCCAGGAGAGAGCTTGGTGGTGCCACTCTCGCTGCCCATGGTGCACACTGCCGCTATGACAGCCTCCCTTGCTGCCAAACCAACGCTGAACAGTATTTTTGCTTTTTGCCCTTTTTTTTTTTTTTTGTAAAAGCGAAAATCCCCTTCAGATTTCTTTTGGTTAGCAAAAACAGGTACTAATATAGGTTTTTCATAAAAGCGAAATGATATAAAGCAATCTTGGGAAAAGCAGGGGATGCTTGTGTGTGTATACGTACATATATAAATATACATCTTGAACTGCGTGGGTCCAATTATACGCAGATTATTTTCACTGAAGACACATTACAGTACTACTTGATCCATGGTTGGCTGAATCCGCCAGATGCCGCAGGGTGGATACAAAAAGCCAACTGTTAAGTTATAAGTGGATTTTCAACTCAAAGGAGGATCGGCACCCATAACTCCCACATCGTTCATGGGTCAACAGTGTATGCACGTGTGTACATATACACATACGTACATGTGTATATACGCACATATACATTTTATACACAGTTAGAATTATTAGATATAACAATTCTGTTAATGCTATCTAACGTCACAACCCTATGTGATGAAATGACTGTTATCAGAAGAGTAAAAATATCAACTGGCAGACAGAGAGACAGCTACATAAAGCAAGGGGGAATGGAGGGAAGGTAGGAACGAGGGAGGAGAAAACACATCTGTTATCACAGCTAAATAATTCCCCAGCATCTTTAGCTCAGAGTAAAAATACTGAGTCGTGAGAAACCATCCTTGTCAGAAGGTAGCCCGCGGCCTAAAGTAAAATTCTCCTAAACATGGCCACGTGAAAGGGGAATGTTACATAGTCAATACAAGAAAACAGGAAGGGTAACAGCCCAAAGATAAACATTTTGTGTTTTTTCAAAACAGTTTATCGTTCCTCCAATGTTGTCACAGGCAAACCTAATAATCTCCTATTAAAAAGGTGGAAATTAAGTAAAGGTGCTTTCCACTTTAGGTTTTTAACCCACTCTGTAACCGGAGACACTCAAGTGTCAAAATGAAGGTTATACATTTTTCCTCTCAGGGGAAAAGAAAAAACATTGAAGTTATTCATTAAAATTACAGAAGGGTTTGTAGAAACACCACAGACTTTAATAAAGTTATAAATGTATTATTAGAAAATTAACTTGTTTTCTTAATAGCTTTATTGAATTTTTTGCATACAGTATCTATTATGTCCTAAGAGCAACTATTTTAACCTCATGAAAGTTCAGCTACATTATTCATAAGGACTGTTAAAAAAAACTGTGACTATTTGCAATTAGTTTATCTATAATCCCAATCACTACCAAGATTATCCTCAACATCTTTCTGGAAAAGAGCAACCACACCCTTCTCAAGGCTCCTTTGGATTCTTACTTGTTACAGCCATCTGGCCTGCTGTCAGAAGGGCCGACCACAGTGTCCATGAATGTTGCAACGTTGGAAAATCCTGCCGGCAATTCATCCCATTCATCAAATTTGATGCCACTGCCCAAGGAGTAGGTGCCTTCACCACACTTACTGCATACCTGATTCTTCATTTCTAGATACTCCCCAGAAGCACAGGAGAAAGCTGGAAGGCAGAAGAATGTATAATCCATTAGTCATCACACCCCCCATCAATTTCCTCCCCTTCACACTGTCACCAGCATTATTTTTATAAAGCTCTGATCAGGTCACACCCTAATTAAAGCTTTCCAAAGTCTCCCTTATCACTATATGCACTTCACAGTCTGACTCCGACCTATTTTACCAGGCTCATCCCTTGACCCATTCTCTTCCAACCATAACAAAATTCTTATCACTCCCAGAATATTTCATCCTCTTTCTCGCCGCTGTGGTCTTTCTTCGGAGATGCTGACCAACGCACCTGCTCACCTGGAAAACTCCCGTTCCTAAGTCAAAAAACGACCCTCTTCAGAACAGAAGGTGGGGCCTTACCCCACCAGGCAGTCAACTGTGCCTCTCTCTGTGCTCCTACAATACTCTTCTCATAATACCCCCCTTAAACATAGACAGACGGATGGATGGATAGATAGATACCACTTATCAATTGATGTGAGACTTCAAGCTTGCAGAAAGCAGGGATCATTGCAATTTTTGAATTCCTAATTGTACCGGGCAAATGCTGAGTGCAAATAAAAGGCTGAACCGGTTTGTGATATAAACGTAACGGGGATAATGAGAGGGTAGTGCTTCACATGCAATAGCTAAACAAGTATCTCCACCATGGGTCCATGTTTTCACTATTCACGACTCCCACTGAGTCATTTCCACAACCTCCTTCTTTTTACTGATGATGTCAAGTTCTGTGCTAATGCTCAGAACTAGAGCCAGAAAACAGCAGCCACAGGCAATGCGCAGGACAGCTGACACAGTTATAGAAAAGATGGCAATTCTGCCGCTAAGTTTTTATTCATTCAGCAAATGCAAATCTATGTCCCCCAAGAGTGTGGCTCTGTGCTCAGAGCAGTATTAGTCACTCAAACGTAGCAAAGAGCTTTCTAATCCTTTAATCAGGATATTAAAGAAACAAGAACAAAATAAGACCTCTAAATTATCCAATGAAGAAAAACAAATCTCCCAGCAGAGAGCAAAGCAGCAAAACTTCACATTTAGGTAAACTCCCTTTTAGAATACATTTGGAAATGTAACAAGAAATAAAACAAGCTAATTTTGAAAAAACGAATTAAAGAAATAGAGCTAAAACCCACACTCATCTACTTACTTATCCACGGAATAAATGTTTTTCTTCAGAAAAGCTTAAGATGCTGTACAATGCATTTCTAACCCTCAAATTAACATCCCTAAATTAGCAGAACATCAGAAAATAAGGAAAGGTTAGGCAAAAAGTATTGCATGCTGGCTATAAGGTCAAAACTATCTTGGGGTCAAGTTGTACCACTCCCTAAATCTGTGACCTTGAGTGAGATACGTCACCTCTCCGGGCCTCAGTTTCTATCTCAGAAAAAATAAGATAATAATCATAGTGCTGCCTGATAGAGCTATAACGAGAAACTAAAAAACAGTATAAAGTGGTTAGCACAGTGCCCTGCCTTTAATAAATGCTCACAACACGTGATTATGATCAGTACAACATACTAAGAAACAGTTATAGAAAAAAATTTATTTTACTTTTTATGGTTTATAGGTCTTCTAGAAAACTGATACCATAAAACAAGAGCCCACATTACACTAAATCAAGGGTCAGCAAACTAGAGCTCACAGGCCAAATCCGGCCTGCTATCTGTTTTTGTAAATAAAGTTTTATTGAAACACAGTCATAACCGTTCATATACATATTGTCTATAGCTACTTTCACACCACAGTGGCAGAGGTGAATAGCTGTGAGAGACTGCACTGCCTGCCAAACCGAAAATATTTACTTTCTGATAAAACAAAGTTATCTTTGAAGACAGTTTAGTCTAGTGTCCAAAACTGAACTTTTAACTTAAATAGTAAGAAGTAACTTTTTATGATAAGTTGTTAAAAGGGACCCTAGACTCTAAAAAGGAGATGATTGTGTTTGTGTTATTTCAGAGAGTGCCCATTGCCCTTTAAAGTCATTAAGAATATCGCCAACTCTTTCGGAGGTATTTCTCTAAGGTCAGAAGGAAAACTGAGAGATAACGTTAACAGTAAATGTATTGAGTACAACACAGCCAATTCTTTTTACTCACAGTAGTTATACAAAGTTATCGCGAAAACTAAACTGGCAAATAATGAACCATTGCTCCTGGGGAAAATACAGGCTTAGGCTCCTGTGATGCTCTAGTCACAATATCTTCATCAACAAGTCACAGTATCATCTTCATCAATATCTTGTTTTACGGGTTTTTCAGCCGGAAAACATCTTATTTAAAATATATTGTTCATTCATCAACATTAAACTTATGGCCCACGGCACTAATACTTATACTTGAACTAAGCTTATTTAACAAGTGAATTTTCTCCAAAAGGCAAGGGACAGCCTTCTTGCACTTAGGATCACTAGCCAGCACTTTAGCACTATTTTAAACAGTAAGATCACCAATAAAAAGCATAAGAATGCAAAAAACGTGGCATTAAATAGACTGTGCAAATGACACTGTTGGCAGTATGCAAGATGAAATAAGGAGGCAGCCTGTCACCGTCTTCAACCTCAGCTGGGACCACATGGTCGGGTGACTCATTTTTACTGCTCTGTACATGTCTGCAAATGGCAGTGAAAGTATTACATGGACTGATTTGAGAGTTACAAATAAATTTTTTAACGTAGGTAAATTTGCAAATATGGAATCCATGAATAATCAGGATTGATGTGTTTTAATAGATCTGTGAAGGAGGAAGATACTATGCCCATTCGCCAGAAGCAGAAATTGACACACAGTACATTTAAATAATCCTATTAGAAAATTATCCAATTAACAAGTGGCAAAGATGATATTCAAATTTAGCTCTCTGTTTCCAAAACTCATATGCCAAGAAAATTCAATTCCAGCAATTATTATAATCAATGCAAAAAGGGCAAGTAATGTCAAATTAATTCATTATTATATTTCACATCTTTCTTCATTTGCTGTCTTGAAATGTGCATTATGAAGCAATAACAATTCCCTACCCCCAGGTATCTTATGAAATTTTTAATATATTATAGCTGAAACACACACATTTATGAAATATTTTAGCAAGTTACTAACTTCCATATGCCTCAATGTCCACACCTATAAAAGGAAAATAACAGTAATATCTATCTCCAAAAGTTTTGGGAGTAAATGAGATATTCCATATAAAACATTTAGCAGTGTGCCTGACATAAAGCATAATAATTGTTAGCTGCAATTATTAATAATATAATTCAGGAGTCTGGGACAATCAGAATTCTGCCACTGGATTGATGATTTTACATCTCTTTAGAATAATTACATGGTCAAAGTTAGGTGAATAGCTATAGGGCCTGTAGTAATACAGAGGAGCTAAAGAGTCTACAGCTTTTTGTATTTTAATTATTGCTTCCTCCTCAATCTTTTTTTCCACTCTGGAAGCCAGCTCTAGAGCCACATGTCAAAGGAAAGGAAGAGCCACACGTTCTTATTAAACACAATTTACTCCATGAGATGATGTCAACACGGCCCTACCGACCTCTTCAGGCAGGCATCAACGAGGACCAGCTTTTCCTTTTCTTATACCTTCTGTCCTACCCACATCTACTTTCTACTTGGACTCTGCTTTCTTGGCCTTTGGTTTTTAGTTGAATTAGAAGGGGTTTTATAATATTAAGGACTATACTCTTCATTTGAATTCGCTTACAGTACAACATGAGACTTTTTAAAATTAAAATATAGTTGATTTACAATGTTTCGTTAGTGTCTGGTGTACAGCAAAGTGACTCAGTTATACGTATATACACATATTCTTTTTCATATTCTTTTCCATTATGGTTTATTATAGGACACTGAATATAGTTCCCTGTGCTATACAGTAGGACCTTGCTGGTAATCTATTTCATGTATAGTAGTTTGTATCTGCTAATCCCCAACTCCTAATTTATTCCTCCCTCACCCCCTTTTGCCTTTGGTAACCATAAATTTGTTTTCTATGTCTGTGAGTCTGTTTCTGTTTTATAAATAAGTTCATTTGTGTCATATTTTAGATTCCATATGTAAGTGATATGATATGTATAGGATCTGTCTTTCTCTCTGACTTATTTCACTTAGTATGATAATCTCTAGGTCCATCCGTGCAGCTGCAAATGGCATTATTTCATTCTTTTTTATGGCTGAGTAATATTCCATTGTATACTTGGACCACATCTTCTTTCTCCCTTCATCTGTCCATGTACATTTAGGTGGCTCCCATGTCTTGGCTACTGTAAGCAGTGCTGCAGTGAACATTGGGGTGCATGTATCTTTTTGAATTATAGTTTTCTCCAGATATATGCCCAGAACTGGGACTGCTGGATCATATGGCAACTCTATTTTCAGTTTTTTAAGGAACCTCCATACTGTTCTCCATATTGGCTGTACCAATTTACATTGCCACCAACAGTGTAGGAGGCTTCTCTTTTCCCCACACCCTCTCTGGCATTTGTTATCTGTAGACTTTTTAATGATGGCCATTCTGACTGGTGGGAGGTGATACCTCATTGCAGTTCTGATTTGCATTTCTCTAACAATTAGCCATGTTGAACATCTTTTCATGTGCCTAGTGGCCACCTGTATGTCTTCTTTGGAGAAATGTCTATTTAGATCTTCCACCCATTTTTTGATTGGGTTATTTGTTTTTTTGTTATTGAGATGTATGAACTACTTGCATATTTTGGAAATTAAACTCTTGTCAGTCACATCATCTGCAAATATTTTCTCCCAGTCCATAGGCTGTCTTTTCCTTTTGTTTATAGTTTCCTTTGCTGTGCAAAAGCTTATACGTTTGATTAGGTCCCATTTGTTTATTTTTACTTTTATTTCTATTGCTTTGGGAGACTGACCTAAGAAAACAATGCTACAATTTATGTCAGAGAATGTTTTGCCTATGTTCTCTTCTAGGAGAACTATATATGCTCTACTATACATAATATATATACTACAGAGTATA